CAAGTGCGCGCTGAGTCTCGCGCGCGTCCGCGCATGGCGGTATGTAAACAGAGGCAAGAATGAATTAAACAAATTCACGAGGGGAGTAAAATGGTTTATACTGAATGAAAAGATATTCCAGAGCAGAAGAACAGTGCTTGGAGATCACTGTCACATCGTTACACCAGTTTGTATTGACGTAGAAACAAAGCCCTCCGCCTCTGCTCTTTCCTGATAGCGCACAATGGCGGAACAGCTCAAAGCCCTGCAGCTCCAGAGCGCAGTCCGGGATCCGCTCATTTAGCCAGGTCTCAGTGAAGCAGAGGACACAGGATGTGGCGAAGTCCTTGTTTCTTCTCATGAGCAGGCCGAGTTCGTCCATCTTATTGCCCAGTGAGCGTACGTTGGAGAGAAAAATGCCGGGGAGAGCCGTGCGAGCTCCTCTTCTCCTCAGACGCACGAGCAGGCCACCGCGCTTTCCCCTTTTATGGGCCCACACTTTTTTGGCTAGAACATGGACTAAATCAGCCGCAGATGCCAAGAAAACAGGCAATAGGTCCATGGGAACGGTGGGTCGGATGTTCATGAGTTCCTCACGGGTGTAGGAACAGCCAGATGCACAGTTAAAAAGTAAAAAGAAAAGAAAAAGAGAGCAGCAAAGAGCTGTGGCGACCGTACGAGGCTTCTGAAGAAAACCAACCTGGAAATACTTACAAACTACAGACCAATCTCAAACCTCACTTTTATATCTAAAATCCTGGAAAAACTTATAGCTGAGCAGCTTTGCTGTCACCTGCAGGAAAATAATATGTTTGAAGTCTTTCAATCAGGATTCAGAGCTCATCATAGCACTGAAACGGCACTAGTCAAAGTCACAAATGACTTACTACTAGCTGCTGATAATGGACAAGTGTCAAGGCTGGTCCTACTGGACCTTAGTGCTGCATTTGACACAATAGACCACAGAATTCTACTGCAGAGGCTAGAATGTGATATAGGTCTGAGAGGAACAGCCCTTGGCTGGTTTAAATCCTATTTATCAGATCGGTATCACTTCGTCAACGTAAATCAGAACTTGTCTGGAGTGGAATTCGGTGTGTGGGTTCGGTACTCAGACCGATTCTTTTCACTCTCTACATGCTGCCGTTAGGAAACATCATTAAAAAGCATGGAATTAATTTCCACTGCTATGCAGATGACACACAGCTTTATCTGTCGATGAAGCGAAATCAGACGGATCAGCTAGAAAAGCTTAGTGCCTGCATAACGGACCTTAAAACGTGGATGACTCTTAACTTCCTACTTCTCAACCCGGAGAAGACAGAAGTGATCCTACTCGGTCCGAAGCGCCTGCGTGACTCCCTCACTAACCAGATAATCACTCTCGATAATGTCAGTATAATACCCAGTAACACTGTGAGGAATCTTGGAGTCATTTTCGATGAAGAACTCTCCTTCAAGGCGAAGCCAAGCGACTAAAGCAACGTACTTCCACTTACGGAACATCGCTAAAATTAGGAATTTCCTTCCTAAAAGTGACGCGGAAAAACGTATTCACGCTTTTGTCACCTCAAGGCTTGACTACTGTAACGCTTTATTAGCAGCGTGCCCTAAAACCTCTTTGAAGAGCTTCCAGCTCATTCAGAATACAGCAGCAAGAATCTTAACAGGTACCAAAAGGAGGGAGCACATAACTCCGGTGTTAAAATCACTCCACTGGCTTCCTGTGGAGTACAAAATAAAGTTTAAAATCCTTCTCTTAACATATAAAGCCATGAATGGCTTGGCTTCTTCCTATCTCCAAGACTCCTTGGAGATAGCGTTGCGCTCACAAAACGCCAGACGTCTGGTGGTCCCTAAGGTCTCAAAAATCACTGTTGGTGGCAGAGCATTTAGCTACCAAGCTCCTTTACTGTGGAATCAGCTTCCCATTTATGTTAAGGAAGCAGATACGGTCTCCACATTCAAGGCCAGGCTTAAAGCACTCTACTTTAATTTAGCATATAATTAGGTAATATATAATATATGGTGTATATATTATATATGCTGTATTATGTTATATATTATACAATATATGTATTATGTTGTGTATTGTGTTATGTTGTATATTATGTTATATATTATGCTGTATGTTATGTTGTGTATTACATATGATATATATGGTATGTATGGTATATATGATATATATGATATATAATATATAATTAGGTCTGCCTGGATCAGTTTGCACACCTGGTGTGCAATCCATGAATCTTGGTACTGTGACCTAGACTAGCCTAGCCGTGGCTGCTGCTGTCTCGCCTCCTTTCAGATATGCTCTCTTTATTCAAGGCTAGGTTTAAAACAGTCCTCTTTAGTTTAGCATATGGCTAGGAAGGTAAGACTCAGGGAAGGCTAAACTCCTCAGACTGTCAGTCAAGCTGCATAGGGAGTCAGTTTGCTGGGAGAAGTATGGTAACTTGGGACCCGCCTGGGAGTGCTTCAGTCCTGCACCGGACCTGTCCACGTTCAGATCAGATTCAGATTCAGATCAGATTCATTTATTTGCCATTTGCAGTAAAACCACATTGGAAAAACTGTGCAAGACTACCCCAGTGTGCACCAGACGACACACACCAGAGCTCTTGCCACGGCGCCATCTTTACGGCGCCATGCGACAAACAGTAGAATAAACAGCAGAGAGCAGTAACATACATATTTCAAACAAACATGGGAGAGACACGGTACATGTGGAAAACATGCAGATCTTTTTGAAGGGAAGTCATCACTCTGGCCCGCCTCGTCCAATATAGCGCGTCAGAGGGGAGTGTGGGTGGGGCAGGTGGGGGGGAAGACCACCATAGACTGAAAAGAGAGGGAGGCAGACATGCCTTGTGGGAAATTTGTATAAGCACTTTAGCTGATCAATGAAAGGCAGTGTAAACTAAAGCCAATATGTCCAAATTATACTGGAACTGGACCCTCCGTTCACCGTTATCCGCAGTTGACCACGTCAGTACGAGGTTCAACCGTGAGGCCCAAGTCCTTCAACAATCCTTCCAAGCGTTTAAGTCCATCCAAAGATCTCACTCCCAGATCTGAAAGGGAATGTTCGATCCGACTCACACCCCGTTGTGTCCCCACTGTGCCCTCGACCACGACTCTGGCCAACTCGCGGAAACTCTCCTTGTTTTCCGCGGACAGCCGCTCGTAAATCTTCTGAGTGGACAGCCCTCCAACTTTGCGGTAGATCAAGCCAACTCCAAATCCAATCAGGAGGAACCCTGCTACCATAAATCCAAAAATGTATATATCCTCAATGTCCTCGATGGACAGTCCCGACAGACAAACGGGGTGCCACTTTTGCCAGTTGTCAAAAACGTACCCAGCAGCCGCCGTACCATCCGGGCAAACGGCATCTCCAGAACCGCCTTTACGTGATGAAAAAATAGTATCAATTGCGTTGAGGGACCAGTTGATTAATTCCATCATTTTTCAAGTTGTACACAGGCAGAGCACTAGGAAAAAAGCCAATCAGGGCAAGCAGAGCAGGAGCAGGGGAGAGACACGTCTGACCTCGAGGAGAGCAGGAGGAGAGCAGGAGGAGAGCAGGAGGAGAGCAGGAGGAGAGCAGGAGGAGAGCAGGAGGAGATTCAGCGGCCACTGGTCCACGTTCTGTAGCTTAGGTCCTAGATCCTTAGCCTGTCCGTCCGGAGGAGCGGATCCCTTTCTCAAATGGGTCTCCCTCCCTGTGGGTTTCCCTAGTTCTCCCCAAGGTTTCTCACTTTTTCCCACTGGGTTTTTTAAGAGTTTTTCCTTGTGGATGCAGGAGGGTCTTGTTGGACAGTTAGTGTCCAACAGAAAGGATTGGTGATGATCAGGACACTTTAGCATTCTACAACATGTATGGACATTTTCTTCTGTGTGTGCTTTATATTCTTCATGTGTTTTAACTGTTGATTCTCTGACCTGTGTTGGTGATTTCAATGGTTTTGTTAAGTCCTCTGAGATGACTTCTGTTGTGACCTAGGGCTATACAAGAATAAATTGTATTGTATTGTATTGTATTGTATTGTAAATGTCATTTATACTATGGTGTGGTACGACCAGGCTAGTACCTCTCTCTTTTTTCTGACAAACTCCAGACAATCACTTTATGTATATGTATATTGTATAATATATGTATGTATAATATATCACATCATGTATAATGTGTGCACCGAGTGCACTTGTATTTAATATTTGTACTATTTTACCTTTTATTTTTTTACTCTGGAAATGTTTATACTTTAGAAATGTTTTATTATTCTTTCTCTACTTTTGACTTGTTTGCACAGAGAGCCAAAGCAATTTCCTAGTCTGTGACTTCCTGTTACTTACATGGCAATAAAAAGGATTCTGATTCTGAAATAGTTTCAGACCAACACTGAGGAAGGAGCTCTCTACTAAAGAGGGCAAGTCCTCTTTCTCCAGTCCACAACAATGGCCTTGGATATGGAGAGAATGAGTTTCACTCCAACTGCTTCACACTCTGCTGAAAACTTGGTCTCATTCCAGTGGCACTGGCTTTTACTGGGGATCTTCCTCAGGTTTATTTCTGAAATCAAACCAAATGTGTTAAACCACAGATCATTATGTCCTACATAACGATTGGCGACAAGAGAAGGAGCTCATGTGGCTCATGAGCTCGGGGAGACGCAGAGACAAGACTTATGTTCTGCAGATCAATGATAACATCCATCTCAGTGGACTATAGTCCAGGGTAAGGGTGCAAGGTCTGCAGAGTCCCAGGGAACCCTGAAGTTGGACTTGGTCCACATTGTTTCTCTTCACGAGCTGAACTTAAACATAAAACCATAAGAGACCACACTCCCCTTCCACCCTCATAATAGATCCATGCTCCACCCTCTCTAGCGCTTCAGGGGAATCCTGAGGTGCAGTCTCAGCCCCAGTGGCCGAGTTTAATTTCAGAGATGAGCAGCATTCATTCACTTTCCGAGTCTAGACTTCAGAGTTTTAGAGACCACAAGAGTACGACGTGAATGCAACATTGTTCATCTATAAAGGGTGTTTGGGAACGTGACTTGTCTATTGGAGGGCGTGACCTGTGTGTTTGGGGGTGGGGCCTGTGTGTTTGGGGGTGGGGCCTGTGTGTTTGGGGGTGGGGCCTGTGTGTTTGGGGGCGGGGCCTGTGGGTTTGGGGGCGGACTCTGCTGCAGCTGTTGTTCCGACTAACAGCAACCGCTAAAGCTAACGCCAGAGCCCCCCGAGCAGAGCCTCTCAACCCGCGGAGATGTGTGTGAAAAGCAGCGGCTCGGCCCCACTCACGGGCCCGGGACTGTGACAGCCCCTCTGGGACTCACACCGGGGGGAGCTCGGCCTCGGGAACCCGCACTAATGCCTCTCCTCTGCGGCTACTCTCCGCTCTTAGCCGCGCTAGCATCGTTAACATGTTGTTAGCATGTTGTTAGCCTCAGATTATCGCTACGAGCCAAAATTTGTCCCGTATTTTCATCCCTTTGTCGGTAACATTCTTGGGTGTCGTTGTGAAAGACGTCGTGGTTTCTGTTCGCGTTGGTTCCAGTGTGAATCAGCTCATGATAAAGCGTTCTATAATATTTATATTGACAATAAGCTAAGCTCTTGTTTATGTCGTGTGCCAGACATTTAATCTATTTGTGTTTAGATGTTCCGTAATGTTGTTTACATCGTGAGTACGTGTTTTACTGCTTTATAATAATATTCCCGTTATTGATGTCTCAGCTTAACAAAGAGCAGCTGTGAGGCTTTGTCTCCGTCCATCTGTCATGTGTAGCAGCCTCTATGTACAAACTTTATTTATTTAACTTATTTATTTAGTGTTTTCAGTGTTAAACTAAGATTTATGAGCAGTGAGAAGTGTCGATTTTTTAACCCGTTAGTTCTCGGCACCTACTTTTTTTAATTGGTCAGATTTTTGTGGATAATCCTTAGTTTTCCCTTGAACATTTCCCGTTATTTTGAGGACATTGGGAGGTGATTTTCTCTGGACATTTGCTGCAGTGGTCAGACGGTCAGTGCTTCTGTCTGATGTCTCTGGGCTGTCCTCTTCTCTGAACCATGGCTCTGCTGCTGCTGCTGCTGGTCCCATGTGAGTCCCACTCAACTTTACCAAAAATATAAATGTAGAAGGATCTATAAACACTTCCATCAGCTGATTTCAAAGCTTGGATACCTAACACTATATGACTCTTTGGGCTGAGATCCTTTTTTCAGGCAGATAAGTGAAAACATGAGGCCAAAATTACATAACTAATGTCTCTAGATCTATTAGTGTGGTATGAGGTTACATACCCCAGATTCAATACATGTACATGTAGGCTTGAATAAAAGGCTCATATTCTCTTTTCTTCTTGTCCAACACTGTTCCTCATTGTCACAGACGTGCAGTTGTGGATTCCCTCCCTCACCCCTTATGTCTAAATGCTCTGTTTTTAAACTTTACACTGATGAATGAATCAGACTTTCGTCACAGACAGAGCTGTTTCTTGAATGTCTCCAGTCACCTGTTCTCTGCACCTGTGTGCTCACAGTTACATGTTCTTCCATCAATGCTGCTCCTCCATTAGGGGCAGTGTTGCTCTTCCTTGTCTCCTCCACTAGGGAAGGTACTCCCTTAGTCTCTTCACCTGTGCTTTTGTTTCAGGTCTCCTCGCTGTGTCACAGAGAGATGAAAACGTTTATGTTTCTGGGATCAGCAACGGTCAGTTCACATGCACCACACCAGACTTGGGACTGATTTATGACAGACCTGGTTCAGACCTTTCGTTAGACCTGGTTTGGCTTCTCTCCACAGCCTGCAGTGAGATGGTCCAGCTCCGGTCCTCCTCTGGTCTGGTCTCCAGTCCTGGATGGCCTTTTCAATATCCTTCTAAAGTCAACTGTAGCTGGAACATTCGCGCTCGCCCAGGAGACACGGTCACTCTGAGGTATGAAGAGAACTCTATAGATAAGCGGTTTAACTGGACATGACTGAAGCAGATAGAAGAGCTGTGTGTCTAAATGTTGGTTTTCTTCAGTTTTCTGGACTTTTCGCTGCAGTCCTCTCAGCGCTGCTCTTCAGATTATCTGCTCATTGACGGTTTGAAACTGTGTGGAACCAGCAGACCAGCTCCATATACGTCCAACAGCAACCAGGTATTGCTAATACTTCTAGTTTTCCTACTGCTAATACTACTACTGCTACGACTGTTGCTGCTACTTCTTTTTCATGTCCATTAGAAATTGATCGCTGTATTTATTTATTTGATCGGTACAACACACATTAATGAACAATCATATAGTTGTACACAAATTGTAAATGTGCCAGATTGTAGCAAAACTGCTAATTTACATCCGTAGTCCAGAGGCAGCTCACACAATAATAATGACACAAAAGACAATATACAACTATACAAATTACAGTTAGTCAAACTGAGTGCAGGAGTGATTTACTTTAAAACGGTTTTTTAGTTGTTTTTTTAAAAGAGATGTATATGTTGGGCATTCTCTTATGTCTGTAGGAAAGTTGTTCCAAGACTCGCCTCCACTGACTGACAGCACAGTTTGTCCAAATGTAGATTTTCTGTGTGGGATCTCCACATCTCTTCTAGAGGAGGCTCTGGTGCGGTGACCTGTCACTGCTTTAGCTTTAATGTAGTTTGAGAGTGGGGGTGGGGCAAGGCCATATAGGTTTGTAAACAAGGCAACAGTTTTGAAAATTGAGCATTTTGTATTTCTCCAGGATATTTCAGTGATGATATGACCAAGGCTTTTGATCCAGAATGTTAATGGACTTTTTGAAGAGGGTTTCTATGGATTTGATATTTGTTTGTCCAGTGAGTGACCAGGTTGTTACACAGTAATCTATGTGTGAGAAAATCATTGCGTTTAGGAATATTTTTGCTGAATTTATTTTCATAAAAGGCCTGATTTATTTGAAGTTATGTAAATTGAACTTTATTGTATTAGCTGTGAGTTTAAAGACCTTATGCAGGGTTTGATTGATTTAGAAATACAGTTTTAATACCAGTTTATATTAGAAGAGAACTACTAAAGGTTTCAAAATCAGTTTTTTTGTTGTTGTCTGATCCCCCCCCAAATCGAAATAACCCCATAGCAACGCCCTTAGAGACAACAAAAATTCACATCCCATGGTGATGTCAGAGCGGGTACGTTTCAACGCTGTAAGTTGTTTACAATGTGGTATTTGGTCTTTTTTTGCGGATATTCAAGATGACAAGGCGGTGTACAGCGAATATAATACTACTACTAGTGTGTGTGTCCTCATTGGTGCTGTGATAGACCAGTGGTTGTGTCAATGCACTGGCACTCCAGCAACTGGAGTTCAATTCTCACCCGTTAGACCATAGACAACTTAAATTCATTAAAAACATTCTTTTTATAAAATATAGGATTTTTTTTTGCTAGAATCTATTTCAGATCAACAATAATTGATTAACTGTCATGCAATTTTGATTTCCACAAATTTTTTTTTTAAACCCTGCATAAGGTCTTAAATGTTTTTTGAAGGAAAGAGTTGAATCCAAAGTGACCCTGAGAAACTTGAACTCCTCAACAAGGTTAAGCTCAGTGTCTCCAAGGAACATGTTGGACCGACCCAGTTAAATAGATTTTTTTGTGAATATCATGGACACGATTTTTCTTTTGATTTAATAGTGAAGATGAGTTGGTGAGCCCTGGTATGTCTACCAGGGCTGCTGTGAGGGTAGATGCCTCTGCAGTTGTTTTAGCAGGAGTAAAAATTACACAATCATCTGCGTACATTTGAATATGGACATTTTGACAAACATTGATGTACATAGAAAAAAGTATAGGTCCCGATACAGAACCCTGTGGGACCCCTGCAGGGCATTCTAGAAATGACGACACGGTGCCATCCACATTCACACACTGTCTTCTAATAGACAGGTAGAATGTAAATCAAGCAAGAGCGTCCTCAGCCAAGTTAAATTGGGTCAGTTTAGAGAGAAGGGCCTGATGGTCTACTGTATTAAAGGCCTTCTTCAAATTTGATAAATCTGCCCAACACAGGTGTTTTTGTCAAGCATGCATTTGACAGTTTTTACAAAGACACAATTGGCTGTTGCTGTGGAATGGTTTTGGCAATAGCCAAACTGCATGGGGTGCAAGGGGGAATGGCCATGGCTGAGATGTTGGTTGAGCAGCTTAGCTACCCATTTTTCAGCCACTTTGGACACAACTGGGAGTATGCTGATGGGCAATAATTTCATCTTTTCTCCAAATTTTAAAAAAGGGGAGAACGTGGCCACCTTCCAGCACAATGGAACAACTGATTGATAGGTTTATCCATTGAGTGAGCGGACGCGCATGTGTGTCCTTGTGTGTTTTTAGGAAATTAATGTCAATTCCGTAAACATTTTTTGCCTTTGAAGATTTAATAGACTTGATAATATTGACCACCTCCCTGTCTGTAATTTTATCAAGTCTAAATACTGGTATTTTAGAATCAAGTGGGTGGTGGGCCGAACAATTGTTTTATTTCATTGACAGAATCAATAAAGAAATTATGAAATGTGGTGGCCAGTTTGTGCGGATCATCTATTACAATATTATCGACCTTTATTTCCATTATAGGATGACATGATTTCTTTTGCGTTCCAATAAGTTTGTTAATGTTTTGCCAAATTACTTTGTCATTTCCATTAGCACTTTGAATTATATTGACAAAATGTTTTGCTTAGGCCTTCCGTAAGACATGAGTAATTTTATCTCTCAGACATGTAAATCTGAATATGTCAGTAGTGAGGCCAGATTTCAAAGATATTTTAACTAAGGCGTCTTTCTCCCATGAGAGACCTACGTTTGTCGTTTAGCCAAGGTAAATGGTTAATTTTTTGTTTCTCTTTTCCAATTTTCAAAAATGGTTTCATCACTTCTTTCATTTTAAAATTGTATAACTGAAAGCAGATTTAAACATCATTCATTGTGAATAACTCATCCCAGTTTATGTCACTATATTGACTTCTAGGGGCAATACGGTGGCTGAGTGGATAGCACTCTCGCCTCTCAGCAAGAAGGTCCTGGGTTCGAATCCCGGTTGGACCAGGGCCTTTCTGAGTGGAGTTTGTATGTGTCTGCGTAGGTTTCCTCCGGGTACTCCGGTTTCCCCTTCCCCTGTTCGGCGACCCCGCTCCCATCTCTGTGTGGAGTGAGAGGACAAGTGCCCAAAAAAAAATAACAATTGTAAACCGCTTTGTGACTCTGGTCTGTGAAAGGCGGTATATAAATAAAGCTTACTAGGGGTATGGGTGTTTCTGAATCGCTTTATACTTAGTTTTCTGGAGAAAAGTATAATATTGTGATCTGAGAGCCATCCATCCATCTTCTTCCATCTTCTTCCCTTTAATCCATGTCTGGGTCAGGGGGGTGGCAGTCAGAGATGCCACCCAAGTCTCATAGCACCAGCCCCTCACTGACCCTCTGCAGGTGGTGAGTCCACAGGAGGACGGCTGCTCTCTGAGTGTGAGCATAGCCTTGATCTTTCAGTTGGGGCTTTGGGCAAAGTGGGGTTAAGTGTCTTGCCCAAGGACACAACGACAGCAGTCATCAGTGTGAGTCGGTGGAGAAGGTGCAGAGGTGGACCCACAACCTTCTGGCCTTAAGGCCAATGCTCTACCAACTGAGCTACTGTCGCCCCCTGATCTGTGATCTGAGAGCCCCGTCATAAAATTAAATGTTTTGATGATAATTTTTTCGGAGCGGTTTGTGAATAACAAATCAATTAGAGTTTCAGAATTATTGGTTATTCTTGTGGGATTCTTTTATCATTTGCGTTAAATGAAAATAATGATTTTAAAGCCTTCACCCTGCCCATCCTGCCGATGTGTTCAATGAGACTCTTTCTGCATTTATTTGACTAAAGTTATGTAGATCAGCTTTAAACATGTCTTCTTAATTAGACTAAAGTTACAGACATCAGCTTTAAACACTCTTGTGCAGGTGTCCATCCACTTCCACTCGGATGCAGCTGTGAGCGCAAAGGGCTTCAGGCTGGAGTACAGCTCAGGTACGTCCATGTATTCACTACCAGGGGGCACTGCAGTCACCACCAGGGGGAGCTCCACAGTCTGGGGCGGGGTGTAAACAGAGCAGTGCATTGTGGGAGGAGAGTTATGTAATTGCTCTAATCTGGATTAGAGGATTGACTTTTCCCCAGTCAAAGGCTAAAATATGTTGATATATTTATTGAACAATAGCCCAATACACAAAACACAAGAATGCCTTTTGAAATTGTAAATGAAATAAATTGAAAAAAAAATCAATGAGCTATCACATTCTTAATTGTATTTTACTAAGAGCTATGTTTTATATTGTTTGTTGTTGTACATACTTATCCTGCATGTAACATGTTTGCACATTTCTTTCTTTTGCACAATCTGAGTGTCTCTATCCACGCCAAATGTGACATGTAAATTTCTCCTTTGTGAGATAAATAAAGCACATCTTATCTTATTAACTATACCCCAAGATACAGATAACAAATGTGAATCAGAGTCAATTAACTGCTCTATTTAAGCAAGAATTCCCTCTAAACATGAAAAAAATCAAATGCATGCAGTAAGAAAATACAGTGTTTGTACGTGTGTCATCACCAAGGCCTACGCATGCGCTTGTACCCGACACATAAAACATCTCATTTGTTAGTGTTGTGGCTGTAGGAAATGCTGTAATGTACAAACATCAGAAATGTCCAGGTGAAAATTGCTTTCAAGGGCGCTACTGTATTCCCTCGCTGATCCTCCTGCAGGTGGTGGGTTCACGGGAAGATGGCTTCTCCGTCATCGACGAGATGGCCTTGGTCTTTCAGCGGGGGCTTTAGGCAATGTGGGGTTAAATCAGAGGTGTCTAAACCGGTCCAGAAAGGGCCGCTGTGGCTGCAGGTTTTCTATCAGACCCAGCAGGAGCAGCGCAGTCTCCACCCATTTCCTAAAATCTTCAGGTTAAGACTGAACTCACTTGAGATGACATGGTTCAAAGACCAATGCTCTACAAACTGAGCCACTGTCGCCCCTCAATAAAATACAGGGTTTTGTAAATAGCAATGTTATTGTCAAGCCACTGAAAAATTTAGTTAAGCTAGCAACAAACCAGACTGTACAACAAGTCACTTTAAGTCACTGCACTATGACTGAAAAGAAACCTGCACTACTTTTGACACTTCTTTCTAATCGCCATTTGTACATAATATTGACCAGATGCATCGACGTCATCCAGTCACGTGATTGTCCATGAGCTTACGGCGGAAGTAGTGGAAACTAGCATTGCGGCGAGAGCAAAACGGACAGAACTCTTAAAAACGGAGCTTCCTCTTCTAAATCGAGAAGTGGCTGCTTCAAGCACATGTTCGATTACGTTATTGGTGGAAGTAGGACATTAGGTCAGGGCTCACAAAGAGCAATATTTGGAGAAGTTAAGTCCAATGTGACATGTAAATTTCTCCTGTGTGAGATTAATAAAGTCTTATCTTATCTGTCTCCTCTGGTTCCTCCTCCTCACTCTCTCCTCTGGTCCCCCCTCCTCCTCACACTTTTTTTCTCCTCTCTCCTCTGGCCCCTCCTCCGCACACTCCCCTCTCTGGTCCCTCCTCCTCCTCACTCTCTGGTCCCTCCTCCTCCTCCTCACTCTCTGGTCCCTCCTCCTCCTCCTCACTCTCTGGTCCCTCCTCCTCCTCCTCACTCTCTGGTCCCTCCTCCTCCTCCTCACTCTCTGGTCCCTCCTCCTCCTCCTCACTCTCTGGTCCCCCCTCCTCCTCCTCACTCTCTGGTCCCTCCTCCTCCTCCTCACTCTCTCATCTCTCCTCAGGTCGTGCCTCCTCCTCCTCCTGTGCTCCTGACCAGTTTCACTGCTCCTCTGGTCGTTGTATTCCCGAGTCGTGGAGGTGTAACTCTCAGGACGAGTGCAGAGACGGCTCGGATGAGGAGGTGTGTGTGGACTCCTTCACTCCGTGCTCCTACGCATCCTTCCCCTGTGTGTCCCGGTACACGAGGGTCTACACCTGCCTCCCTCAGAGCCTGAGGTGTGACGGGAGCATCGACTGTCAGGTGAGACCCGGAGACCCTGAGACCCGGACCTTTGGTCCCTGTAGACTTTTCAGACTGGTGTCTCTGTCTGCTCAGGACCTCAGTGATGAAGTAGACTGTGATGTTCCCTTCTGTGGAGAACGTCTGAAGAACTTCTTTGGTTCCTTCAGTTCTCCAAACTACCCCGACTTCTACCCCCCCGGGTCCAACTGCACCTGGGTCATCGACACTGGAGACCACCGCAAGGTAAGGGCAGAGACTTGAGCCCCGTCTCAATTCTCACCCTTGCCCTTATGTGAAGTTATATGGTGATATGTTTGTGCAAATTCCCCACTTGAAAAGGATAAACTCTCAACATAGAGTTTGAACTGGATTTCACTCAATGATCAGCCATGGTTCTTGATTTTCATGCCATTTATTGGGCTTGGTTTTAGCTTAAGGTTCAGGTGAAAAACCTCAAAAAGAGAACAAAACATACAATAATTTTCTATGTAAATAAACTGTCTTCTAATTGCACTTTTCAACAAATAATGTCTCTGCCTGTTAACACAAATAGTATTTACACCCAAATGAGGTACTCTATATTTTAATCTGGTTTTAAGTACATATCAGTTAATTGTGTGTTTAAGACCTTGTTTTTATAGTTTGCTATATGAAACAGTATTTTTATAGCTGTATTTTATTAACAACTGCCAATTAGCCAAATAAGTTACAAAAGTAAAGTCTATTTTCATATATATTACAAAAGTTTTTAACCACATTTGAAACTTAATACATTATCTTAGCTTTTATCAAACAAAGGGAAACATACCATGAATTAGACCATAAGCCCACTAATCAACAGATCTGGTTTTAGCACACTTTTAAAGTAATACATTTTAACATTTTAACATTAAGTAATTGATTTTAACATGATTGCAGACTGCGTTTTTTAAACTTAATATTTTTAACATAAGGCGGATTTTGTTAATTAGTAGTGAACATAATATTAACGAAAACCGACGAGTTAACCCCCATTCCTTCCTGGAGTTATGTTTTGTTTTGTCTAAAAAAAGTACAATTTTTATAAACAACAATCAAACAAAGTAATTGCTATTGAGTCCGTGTTTACGCTCCTCCAAAGGGCTCTTGAATGCATCATACAAATCCGCGTAAGTTTTGACAATCAACGATCGCAAATGAAGGACGGCGCTTACCGGCTGTCTCTCATGGGGTTGTGAGAGGGTTACTCTTGCACAGTCATTGTTGTCTTTTTGCGCTGCTTGGGCGCCGAGATTGCTTGTCCTACTCGAACTCACACACAGAAGTGTCCGTGTCCGTCCCTTTTTTACACCCCGGGTGGATGCAGATTACGCAGGTGAGCCGTTCCAACCACCATTTCCCTCCGGTGGGGAGGGGGAGCGGGACTACAACGCAGTTTGCCAGCACACCTTAAAATATTCCCTTGTCCTAAATTTTGCGCATGCCCGCGGGGGTTGTAGGGTGTCCCAATACTTGGGGAGCAGAGGCGAGGGCCCTCACACCCTTAAAATAGCCAAAAAAAGCTGTTTGGTCTCTGGGTACATGAGACAAGTGCAAGTTTGTGCTGAGCGTGAGGAAGCTTCAAAGCATGCGCAAGTAATTTAGAGGTTTTTTTTAAGGGTGTGTTGAGTTTTCTGTTGAGGGAACTCACCCTCAGTGCCTTACAGGCCAGTCCTGCCCCAAACCTGCCCCAAACCTGCTCTGCTCTTTTCCCCAGGTACCGGACCAGAGCCCACTCAAATAAATACGGGTCCTGTATATTTCCAACACTTTCCCGTCTCTGTTCACACAACAAGGAGGAAGTGTCTCTATGGTGTGCACATGTTTCTGTGTGTTTATTAACTCCTGGTATTTTTCTAGGTGATCCTGCGGTTCACTGACTTCAAACTGGATGGGACTGGCTTCGGGGATTTTGTGAAGGTCTTTGATGGTCCGGATGAGAACCCCAGGCGTCTACTGCGGGTGCTGACGGCCCTGGACTCACGAGGCCCCATGCTGGTAGTGTCTACGTCAGGACAGCTACGAGTGCACTTCTACGCTGACAAGATCAACGCAGCCAGAGGCTTCAATGCCACCTACCAGGTGATAGTACTGCTGCTGGAACTGGTCTAGTACTGCTACTGCTAATGAGGTCTCTTTGAGGCGGTCTCTTTAAGGCAGTCTTTCTGAGGCGTTCTATATTGCAGTGTCTCTAAGGTGGTCTCTCTCTCTCTCTCAGGTGGAGGGCTTCTGTCTGCCCTGGGAGCTCCCCTGTGGAGACGGCTTCGGCTGCTACAGCTCATCCAACCGCTGTGACGGGTTCTGGCACTGTCCAAACGGCCGTGACGAGGCCAACTGCTCCTGGTGTCAGCAGAACGAGTTCCCCTGCTCCCGGAACGGAGCCTGCTACCCGAGCTCCGACCGCTGCAACTACCAGAACCGCTGCCCCAATGGGTCTGATGAGAAGAACTGCTTCAGCTGCCAGCCTGGGAACTTCCACTGCCGGGTACCACCTAAACGCACACACAGACTCTAGGGTACACGGTCTCTGAGACTGTAGGGTTCGCTGTCTCTTTGATGTCTCTTTGATGTGTGTGTCTTTTTGATGTCTGTATTGTGTGTTGCAGAATAACCGGTGTGTGTTTGAGTCTTGGGTGTGCGACTCTCAGGATGATTGTGGTGACGGCAGTGACGAGGAGGCATGTCCTGTGACTGTCCCCACACGGGTAATAACGGCTGCTGTGATTGGTTCTCTGATCTGTGGACTCCTGCTGGTCATCGCTCTGGGCTGCACCTGTAAACTGTACTCCCTGAGGTTGTTTGAGAGAAGGTGAGAGTCAGACCATAATCTAACATGTGGGGTCTACACAATCGTCGAAAGTCAGAGGCTCCTCTCACGTCAGTTATACTAAACCAATTCCTACTATTGGCTGCTGTTATAATAAGTCTTCTTTGATTGCCTGCAGGTCCTTTGAGACGCAGTTGTCCCGAGTGGAGGCGGAACTTCTCAGGAGAGAGGCCCCACCCTCTTATGGTCAGCTGATCGCTCAGGGTCTGATTCCCCCAGTGGAGGATTTCCCCGTCTGCTCTGGCAACCAGGTGAGTAGTAGTAGTAGTAGTGTAAAGATTAGTCCACTTTAAGGTGCAGTAGAGAAATTTGCCTGCCGTACTTCCCCAAACAAACTAGCAATTAGCAAAACTCGACTGCCGTTGTGTAAGAGCCAGGGCTATGTAATGCAACGTAGGTGTTTTGGTGCGCGCACAAACAAAAAGCAGGAGGGAGGACGGGGGGAGATGAACGCATCCCGTTGGTTTTGTCCTATCGGACCGCTCCAAAATATTTATGATTTATTTTTTGAGGCTACAGGCATCTGGTCATGTCTATTTCTATTTAAAACACATGATCACATGACTACTTTTGGGGTTAGAGACGCTTCCTCACAGTATTAAAAAAAAAAAAAAGGGGTCTGGATAAATCATTTATTGCATCTTTAAAAGTGCTAATAACATAATACTATAACAGTATTACTTGTACTTCAGTACTACAGTCCCTGTGTATGGCCTGCATTAGAGTAGTTCTTGCTATAGTACTACAGTGGTATTTGTACTTTTGTATTTCAGGCCTCAGTACTGGAGTCCCTGCGTGTGGCTGTACGTGCTCAGCTGCAGTTCCCCTCCCTGAGGTTGGGGCGGCGCTCTTCTTGGGGGCGTTGGTTTTCCTCTAGGCGTCGTTCGTCAGTGGCATTGGTGTCGTCTGAGTTGGAGGCGGGGCGTCTCCATGGTGACGGCTCTGAGGGGGCGGAGCCTCTGTTGCAGGAGGCTGAGCCTGAAGGGGCGGTGGGCGGAGTCTCCCAGAAGGTTCCCATTGAAACAACGACATCGTCATCAACACAAACGGTGACATCACAGCGAGTCACATGGGTACGCGATTATTCGCATTCATGTCATAGTGACCTCACAATGAATCTCAATCGATTCAGATTCATTTATTTGCCATGTGCAGTATAACCACATTGGAATACATTTTTCAAAGTCCCCAGTGTGCACAAGACAAGTACAGACATAAAACAACAATAAAAGTACACAAACAAAACAAATAGAGCGGTAAACAATTGTCACTGTGAAATCAATCAACTAAAACAGTTTCAATAAAGTGCTCTGTTCAAACAGCTTGTGGGTAGAAGCTGTTAGCGTATCGAGATGTCCTGCATCTCAGCGAACGATTCTTCTGCCAGAAGGAAGAAGCTGGAACATGGCTTTTCCAGGGTGGCCAGAAGAGAGTAAATATTCTAAGTGCTCGGTTTAAAAGTCTGGATTTATAAAGAACCTCCAGAACAGGAAGCTCACAGCTCAGTCCTCGCATATTTTTCCCTGTTCTGAATGTCCCTTGATTTGGTGTGAACACACACACAGGGGCCACACACACACAGGGGCCACACACAGGGGGCACTGTTACAGGCAAAAACTGTTAATGCTTTTAAACTTTGCTATATGAAGACATTTCCTGTTTCTCAGCCTCTGGACTCTGGCTCTGCCTCTCTGCAACGACTCGCCTCAAACCTGCAGCGTCTGCTCAACCCTGACCGTAACCGTGGCAATGAGGAAGCCCCTCGCCCCGCTGTCTCCCCACAGCAGGAGTTTCCACAGAGCCCTCCTCAGCGAGCAGCGAACGGCCCATGTGAGCGCTGCAGTAAAGTCCACACGGGGGCGACGGCAAGCTGCTCCCAGACCAGGACTGGACCAGGTCTGGATCGGGACCAGGGTCTGGACCGGGACCAGGGTCTGGATCGGGACCAGGGTCTGGATCGGGACCAGGGTCTGGATCGGGACCAGGGTCTGGACCGGGACCAGGGTCTGGATCGGGACCTGAGCAGTGATGATGAACTCCTGCTGCTGTAGAACACACTCCTCAGAGACTGTCCTAGTGTCCTTTCCTCTGTCCTCTCATGTCTTCCTCTCTCATTTCCTCTCACCTGCTCTCATCTCCAATCCCTTCATGTGATGGTCAGTTTGCTCATTCAGGTCAATCGGCAAGAGTATGGGTCAGTGGGTCAGGCCCCAGAGCCCCCCCCTGCTGGAGACTCTCTGTCTACGCACTTAATGATAAACTTGAGCTCCTCTTTCTTTTTCTCGTCTGAAACCAACTTCTCTGTGATGTCACCCCATTAACTGGCTTATCAGAAGAGTACAGAGAACTGTCCAATGGTACAAAACACAGATCATGTTACTGAAGCACACCCTTGCCTCACGGGTCTTACCAACCCAGACCAATTTGACCTCTCAGCCCCTGGACGTGTATTTGACCCGTGTATTGTGTTTTTTCTGCATGGTTTGAGTTTTTCCTTTTGATCCGAGACTAAATTAAAAGAAGGAAACTTTTGCAGTTTGATTTATTATTCTAATGTGGTCTTATGTTTTTGGGCCTCACTGGGGTCTGAGAGTCAACACTGACAGTATCAGCCTGGGAGCCACCAGTAGCTTGCCACCCTATTGCAAGGAGCCTCCCCAAAGGATTTAGAAGTTACAAATATGCCCAAATGATTCATATACACACAACTACGTATACAACAAATGGTATAGACTTAACCTGACTAAGGCTAGCTATCATTACATATTTTCCCCTCTTAAGGAGTAGCTCGCCGTCTTTTTGATCCTGAGAAAGTAGCTCTCGGGTGAAAAAAGGCTGGACACCCCCGCTATAACCTGTATTTTTGCAGATTTGCATGTGTTTTATGTTGGCATCTTCAGACACATTAAATCCACACGACACATTTTTCAAAAAAGTTTTATTTTTCATTGTTGCTATGGTTACAAAAATACTTTTATGTACAGAAACTGGTACAAAAGTCACAAAGGGCAAGAAAACAAACTAAAATAACTGCTGAAGTAGAACAGAGGGTTCCCAAAGTGGTCCATGGCAGGCACATGTTTAACAAGATGATCACAGCATCATGTACTCTGATTTAAAGCTGCTCTGAGTAACATTGTAACCTTCACTGAGAGCAGTTTGAAGTTTAACATTAAAAACACATTTTCAGATGTCCCTTTTCTGTGCTTCAAACTTGGGAAACACTAGAACAGTTCTCAGACCTTAAACTCTACTACTATCATCAGGCAGTATTCACATTCCAAATCGAACCCTTTACATTACTCTGATGCTTTTATTATACATTTAATCTGAATCTTGAATGCATTGCAACAACTGTTTTTAATCTTTGGGTCAAATGTAAGACTTAAGTTTCATGATTTACGGTTTTCCACACAGTTGCCTCCTCTTTCAAGTCCAAACAAGTTTAAGAATTCTGATGCCACCAAAGGGGTTCCAGTCAGCCTCCTGCAGCATGTCCTAAATGTCTGCTCACCTCCTCCTCCAGGGCAAGTGGACGGGGAAGTGGAGGGAGGAAAGGAGAAACGAAATGAGAGTTCAGGAGAGAGGATCACTGGTGGATGTAAAAGTAGCAGTCGCATTTACCACTCATGGCTCACTGAGTGTTGATGTGAATGTGTTTCCGGTTTCATTTGAGTGAAGTGACAAACGTTGACTGGAACTTCCTGCTGTTTGGACTTGTGTCTGATATTATTTTTTGTCACAAGCATTTACTGAAGCCAAACCAGGACAAAACTCAGGGAAAGGGAATAGGTCTTTGTAACACCACGGGTAAGATGGCCGCCACAGCAGTAAGATGGCCGCTCAGTCCCCAGTCACCAGCGTCACCTCCTGTCCATCACCGTCCTCCGTCATGATGATCCCCACCACCTCCTCCTCACCCTCCACCTCGTCCTGCTCGCCGTTAGCATTAGCTTCACTAGCACCGTTGGCCTCGTTAGCGCCGGAGTTAGCCTGGGACATGGCCTCCAGTTTGATACGGTATTCTTCTGCCTCCTGCTCCTTCCGCATCAGCTGCTGCCGATACTCCTGTGCTTTTCTGTTGGCCTCCAGCAGCTGCCTCTGCAACAGCTCCTGAGGACAGAGAAACAGCTCTATCAGCTTTTATTCAGTCAATTAAAACAGCTCTTCTATCGGCTTCCTTCAGTGGTGTCCAATTAAAAACTGTTAAACTCACCGTCTCAGGGAGCTCTGGTGTTGGTTCCAGTTTGCGTTTCCTTGTGGGAGGTTCCTCAGAGACTACCTCCTCCGTCACCGTATTGGCGGGAACCAGCACTGACCAATCACAGAAGAGCAGACCGTCACACAGCCAATCAGTACAGAAGACCGTTATGTGCCCTAATCAAGCCCCGGTGATCCAAGATGGCGCCCTATTAGAGCTATTATCTGGCCCGAAGGGGTGGCGCCCCAGCCCGGCCCCGCCCGACATGGTTTCTGAATTCTTAGGCCCGAACCCGTATCAAGCCCGACTTTATTATGGGAGGTAAAAAAAATGAAATAATGTTTTAGGGTAGTATATAGTTGCGCGCACTGATATTAACACAGGCGGAGTTAGTAGTGATGTGTTGCAATGAGTTCTGTGTGTACGGAGTGAACGGCCGCAGCTGTATGATACACAGATGCCGCAATAAACTACAACACACTTGAAGGTAACACTGTGTCTCGTCAATGACAATACTGTACAGAACAACAAATACTACAGCGTAATAGAAGGTTATATTAATTGGGTGCGTTTGTAAATAATCTGCCGCTCTGATAATGAATAAATAAAAGTGCCCGAGCCCGTACCGTGTCCGAGGTAATTATACAGTCATCGACCCGAAGTCCAGTCCTCGGGCCTAGGGCTCAAGTGCATTTAAATGAATGGCTTGTGCTCAGTAGCACATGGGACTTCACGGGCGCTGACATACTAGCGGAACTCTCCTATATTTGGGCATCGTCTGGTCCTCCCGGTTCTGCGCTGTGGACGAGCTCCCATGATGCTTTGCGCCACATACGCGAGTGTGGCTCTCATGCACGTGCACAGTGGGGCTCGGCCGCGTTTTTACCAATCAGAACTGTTGGTCAGAGCAGCTGGTCAGAGCAGTGGTAGAGCGGAGTCAGAATGGCAGTAAAGTGTGGATTTAAAGTGGTTCTCACCCCCGCTCCTCGGAGCTTACGTCACTCACATTTCCTGTTCAAATCTTCCTCTAAATGGGCGTAGCCTGGAGGACTAAAGGGGGCGTGAACGAGACTGGGCCGTTTACATTGCTCTGGGCGGGGGGCTGCTGACGTCAGGTCCAACTTGCAGGTGTCAGGTCCAACTTCTGTGCCAGTGTTGGCGCCAGATTCAAAATTCAAATGTAGTAATACAGGTCGCCAGCAGATGGCGCCTCACAGACGGTTTTAGGCAGAAAGTCTAACTTTCAACTAATTTGCACCAAAGTGACAAGATTATGACCAGGATATGTATACAACACTATTGGACACTCATTTATACCGTTTATCAGCAAAAAAGGTGGATTTGAGGGCGAGTTGTCCTTTAAAGAAAACCAAACAATTTAAGAAGAAAAAAAGTTCAGGATGACAAGGGACACTAAAATCCACACAAAATCCAATCTTTCTGAAAGCTGTAGGTTCTCTGTCAGCTGAGGTTGAGCTATTTTACTTTACATTTAGTTCTATGGGACTTTTTTTCTGGGTAGCCCACGTGAATTTAGTTTGCAGTACCACGGGCGCCCCCTGTGCCCATGGGTGGGACAGCTGTAAGCTAGTAATACCCTATCCAGTTATTATTATAGATCCATGGCCCTAATGTAGAGAACTGTCATTGTACTGGTCTGTATACAGGGTTAGGGTATGGACATAACCACTGAGCATGACTGAGTTAAAAATGGTCTAAATGCAGACATACAGTATGTATGGCCCCAGTACTGAGCCCTGGGAAACTTATCAGGAGCTGCTGCCTGTGCGGTGTGGTTTTAGGACATGTGTGTGCCGCGGATAGACACTAAACCCTATGTACACCAAGCGGATCATGCGAGGGCGTGACATAAGACGTGCATAGACGATGTACGTCTTCCCCGTAGAGCGTAAAGGAGGATCTTTGTTTACACCCGCGTGCGCATGCGCCCCTCGCTGTGTGGCACAGACTGAAGCATGGATGCGACGAGTACTTTTAAAAGTCTCAGTGGGCGAAATGCACTGTATATAAACAATTTAACGCAAGAAGATCAGAGGAGATATAAAGACAAGCTAAAAATAAGTATATGAGACCGAACTGAACAAATCCAAAGCCCAGATGAGACCTGGGATGACGAGAAGAAACATTGCTCAGACTCACATCTGTCTTGGCATCGATCTGCTGGGACTGAGACATTTATTCTTACTTCATAGAAAACCCGGGACCCTTCACTCTAGAAGGGTCCGTGGTGAAAATCCATTTCTCACGTTTTTCACCGCGGTAAAGTGGCCCGGCATTTCGCCGTTGCGGTAAAGCACATTAAAAGCGGGTTGCCCCTGTTTGCTGTTACTTACGGTAAAGGTGGAACAGGAAGCCGCGGGGATGAGCAACCAAAATACAATGTTTCAAATTAATCATCATTCATGAATGAGTGAACAAGTCCGCAGTGAAAGTAGTTGCAAAACTTAAATTTGTTTATGAATTTTTTTCCCCTTGGCTTCTCGTTCTACATTTACCGTAGGTAACAGCATAAAAGCGCAACCACTTTACCACGGTCGTTTTTCTTTGTTTTTCCGAAATAATAAAAAAAAAAACTTAATCCGTCTCCAGCGGGCTGTACAACCGACCACACAACAAGAACGGACCATTTGATTTAGTAAAATCTCACTACAAACGTCTAAAAATAGCTAACTCTCTAGCATCCAGGCAGCTTTCTATGCTGTAGTGCAACACAGTCCCTTGACCAGCGTGGAAAAACTATAAACAACGACGTCACTCAAAGATCCTCCTATATGATGAGTGGTCTGACAGCCTTAATACGAAAGATGGCGATTTGAACATAAGCTAGCAGGAGCCAATTTTATTATATGGACATTTGTTCCGTTTGCTTTACGTTGAAACAGGGGCAGACGTGTTGCTAAGGCAAGCAGGAGTTTCCCTCACAAATGAAGGCATCTGATTGGTTAGTCCTTATATGGCTTGAATCTAGGGCTGGGCGATATGGCAAAAAAAAAAAATCTCCGATTTTTTCACACCAAATCCGATTTTCGATTTTAATCGATTTTTTTTTTTCTATTTAAAAACAAACTACAACTGACAAAGAAATAGATTTTCCTTTATGCAGTTTAATCTAAATCCCCATGGAGCATAAGTGTAACAGGAATTAAGCCTTAAAACATGCGAGATGGCTCTGTAAACAGTGAAAATGTAGCTTAACAGTTTTATAATAACTTCACTTACAATGACACTATGCACCTTCAAAATAACTTAAATCACACAAACAAGGCCCATCGCAAATATATCAATCCTATTAAACACATGCATTATTTACATGAAATATCACATTTTTAAAACTGATTACTCAAAATAGAAATGTTGTAACAGACAGTCTTTTCCAAAAGCCTCCTCAGGTTTTCATGCTTGTTCTTTCAACTGTGCTGTAGTACAACGCTCGGTCCAGCTGGTGGCGCTAATACTAACTTCAGTGACTCCCGCATTGTGCGAGCTTCCTGTTTACATTCTGATGCTGTAGCTAGCAGCTACTGTAGCAGCTACTGTAGCTAACAGCTACTGTAGCAGCTACTGTAGCAGCTACTGTAGCTAACAGACAGCGGGGAACACGTTGTTTGTATCAGAGCAATGAGAGCAATGTGTGAGACGTGTCTTTCCCCAAAGTGCAGCGGCTCAGTGGGACACGAGTGTGTGCGCGCCACGGACACGGGAGTGCGCTTTGGAATAACGAGCGGAGAGCGTGAAAGATGTGGCGTACGAACATAGCGACCGGAACCTGCGTGCGTGTGTGTGTGTGTTTTGGCGATTAAATAAAGTCTGGAAGTGTTATTGCAAGAGCACCAACTGTGAGAGCAAGCATCAGGCCAGAGGGAGACTGTTAGCATTAGGTTAGCTTCAAAATGACTGCTCAACACCATAGACCCGCGGTTAGCGCGTTAGCGCTGTAGTTCTGCGCTGGAGAAAATAAAAATCGAATTTTTAAAAAAAGAAATCGCCCTAAACGTAAAACTCGAATTAATGATTAAAATCGATTAATCGCCCAGCCCTACTTGAATCTGTATTTAAAAAGAGAACGTCACAATGTAAATATCAGGACTCACAGAGACCGCTCAACAATGGATTTAAGCCCAAAAATGGATTTAAGCCCAAAAATGGTGAATGTACTGAGCCAGAGGGGTTTACATGGAAACATGAAGTCAACAGGAGTCAGAGCGAGTTGGAGCCAAACTTGAGCACTTCCCTATTGGGTTTCATTGAGCTCAAGGGTTATCACACTCACTCTGCTGCCCGTGCTGCATGGTGACAAAGAAGGGCTGGGTCATGGCGCCCGTGGCCGTCTGCAAATTCCCGTGTTGGTCTGTTACTATGGTGATGACCCTCTGGCCGCTCTCGTTCACCACAGCGTGCTGGACGTTTGGGTCGAGCGCAGACGCCGCCAACGCCTCCTCAGTCTCCCCTGAAAACAGACACAGACTGAAGAACTGTTCTCCAAGCTGAAAACCCAGTCCAGGCCCGGTTTTGGCCTCACCTGCATTAGCCTTGTTCAGCAGCTCGGTCAGGTTCACCCCCTGAAGACTCGGCAGGCCCTGGATGATGAACTGAGGCTGAGACCCGTTATCCACGTTCACACTGACGCCAGAGTTCACCGCACTCTGCATGCCCTCCTGAAGGACCAGAGACCAGGTTTAGATCAGAAAGAGTCCAGACCAGATCGAAGAGACCAGACCCAGATCAGAAAGAGAGACCTGAGAGGCAAACCAGACAGAGAGACTATAGAGTGAGAAAGCCAGCGACATATCAGACCAGCGAGACTGGATTATGAATTTTGTGTGTGAGCTTTATAGCTCAGCTGTATAGGTTTACCTGCAGCAGCAGCATGAGCTCGGTGTTCTGGATGTCGACTGCGATGTCGAATGGTGTCTTGTCGAACTTGCTGAGGGAGTGAACGTCGGCGCCGTGTTTGATGAGGGTCTCCGCCACGCTCTGGTGCCCATGCTGCGCCGCCCAGTGCAGCGCCGTCATCTTCAGCATGTCTTTAGCATTAATGTCTGCTCCACTCTGGACAACCACAGAACACACATGAGAGGAGCCACTGCCGCCCTGAGGCCACACACAGTCATCTTCAGCTTACAGCTCTCACCCTCACCTGATGGGGGGGGGGGGGGGGTCTCTCACACACAGGGGTGGTGGTCTCTCACACACAGGGGGGTGGTCCCTCACACACGGGGGGGGGTTCTCACCCTCACGAGCAGCTCCACGATGACAGCGTGTCCCTCTGAGGCCGCCATGTGCAGTGGGGTGCGGTCAACCTTGGTGCGAGCGTCACGGCTCACGCCGGCGCGCAGCAGCACGTCTGCGGTTGAGTAGTGGCCGTGCTGCGCAGCCAAGTGCAGGGGAGAGGTGCCCAGCTGTCAGAGGGTCAACGAGTACAAACAGGTCAACAAGTAAACAAATATTAGTTTCTCATGGGTTCTAATAGAACCAGGAAGCGAATACATTTGTCCAGTTCTCAGGTCTCTGTCCTGAATCCTCTCACAGTAGGGTTAGAGACTGGCTGGTGCCCAGAGTAGGAATTAAACAAAGTCATGAGGCTATAATCTAACATCCGTGTAAAATTAGCTGAATTTGGTCCTCCCTTACCTCACCTACTGTAATGAGGTTTGGGGAAACACCTACAGTAGTCATTTGGAACTGTTGTTCAGACTCCAAAAAATAAGCGATTATGATCATTCACAATGGTGGACATAGGGAACACACAAATCCTTTATTCTTAAGATCTCGTGTCTTTAAATTTAAGGATCTAATAACGTTAAGAACTCTGATGATCGTCTTTAAGACAAAACATAAACTCCCAGAGAAGATTCAAAACAAGTTTTCTGATCGAGAGGTGGGATACAACCTACGCGGAGCCTTTAATCTTAAAGTACAGTCCAGTTGTACCACCCTTAAGAGTCACTGCATCACACGGAGAGGCGTGAAGCTCTGGAATAATCTAGATAATATCCTAAAAGGCAAAACAAGCCTCATTACATTCTAGAAACAGTATAAACTTAATGTATTACAGAAATATGAACAAAGTTAAGATTTAACTTAATATTCTGGTGTGTGTGGTTTGTCCATTAACAACACATTAACTTTTACAAATACTATCATAACTGTTTAATTGGCACATTATATAATGCTCTATGTGTTTTATTATCGTAAATATGTATACATGTGTGCTTGTATATGTATGTATGTGTGCGTATGTGCTTGTATATGTATGTACAGTGCCTTGCGAAAGTATTTGGCCCCCTTGAACCTTTCGCCACATTTCAGGCTTCAAACATAAAGATATAAAATTTTAATTTTTTGTCATGAAGCAACAACAAGTGGGACACAATCGTGAAGTGGAACAACATTTATTGGATAATTTAAACGTTTTTAACAAATAAAAAACAAAAATGGGGCGTGCAAATTATTCGGCCCCTTTACTTTCAGTGCAGCAAACTCACTCCAGAAGTTCAGTGAGGATCTTTGAATGATCCAATGTTGTCCTAAATGACTGATGATGATAAATAGAATGCACCTGTGTGTAATCAAGTCTCCGTATAAATGCACCTGCTCTTTGATAGTCTCAGGGTTCTGTTTAAAGCGCAGAGAGAACCATGAAGACAAAGGAACACACCAGGCAGGTCCGAGATACTGTTGTGGAGAGGTTTAAAGTCGGATTTGGATACAAAAAGATTTCCCAAGCTTTAAACATCTCAAGGAGCACTGTGCAAGCAATTATATTGAAATGGAAGGAGTATCAGACCACTGCAAATCTACCAAGACCCGGCCGTCCCTCCAAACTTTCATCTCAAACAAGGAGAAGACTGATCAGAGATGCAGCCAAGAGGCCCATGATCACTCTGGATGAACTGCAGATAACTACAGCTGAGGTGGGAGAGTCTGTACATAGGACAACAATCAGTCGTGCACTGCACAAATCTGGCCTTTATGGAAGAGTGGCCATTTCTCAAAGATATCCATAAAAAATCTCGTTTAAAGTTTGCCACAAGCCACCTGGGAGACACACCAAACATGTGGAAGAAGGTGCTCTGGTCAGATGAAACCAAAATCGAACTTTTTGGCCACAATGCAAAACGATATGTTTGGCGTAAAAGCAACACAGCTCATCACCCTGAACACACCATCCCCACTGTCAAACATGGTGGTGGCAGCATCATGGTTTGGGCCTGCTTTTCTTCAGCAGGGACAGGGAAGATGGCTAAAATTGATGGGAAGATGGATGGAGCCAAATACAGGACCATTCTGGAAGAAAACCTGTTGGAGTCTGCAAAAGACCTGAGACTGGGACGGAGATTAATCTTCCAACAGGACAATGATCCAAAACATAAAGCCAAATCTACAATGGAATGGTTCACAAATAGACGTATCCAGGTGTTAGAATGGCCAAGTCAAAGTCCAGACCTGAATCCAATCGAGAATCTGTGGAAAGAGCTGAAGACTGCTTTTCACAAACGCTCTCCATCCAACCTCACTGAGCTCTAGCTGATTTGCAAGGAAGAATGGGCAAGAATTCCAGTCTCTCGATGTGCAAAACTGATAGAGACATACCCCAAGCGACTTGCAGCTGTAATTGCAGCAAAAGGTGGCGCTACAAAGTATTAGCGCAAGGGGGCCGAATAATATTGCACGCCCCACTTTTCAGTTTTTTATTTGTTAAAAAAGTTTAAATTATCCAATAAATTTCGTTCCACTTCACGATTGTGTCCCACTTGTTGCTGATTCTTGACAAAAAATAAATTTTTTATATCTGTATGTTTGAAGCCTGAAATGTGGCAAAATGTTGAAAGGTTCAAGGGGGCCGAATTCTTTCGCAAGGCACTGTATATGTGCGTATGTGCTTGTATATGTATGTGTGCGTATGTGATTTTATATGTATCATTAATCTGCAATTACAAATTATATAAATATTGTATGTGGGGTAGGTGCTCATAAGTTCTTTGAACTTCAACCTACTCCTTTTGAGCAGCAAATATGTCAGTAATAACTCTTGTTGTTTTTGTATAAATGCATGGTATGTTGCTCAAATAAACCAAATAAATATAATAATCTGGAACAGTCATCTTGAAAATGTGACAGGCTTTTACTCTGACAATGTTCAAATCCAGGTTAAAAAGTTTTTTCCCTGCAACAACTGAAGGATTGTATCGTTACTCTTTATCATGTACTGTGATTATTTATGTTTTAACGTCTTGTGTGATTGTTTTGTTAACACGTGGAGTTGCCTTGTGCATGAATTGTGCTATACAAAAACTTGCCTTGTGAGGCCCTGTATGACCATCACTATATACTACTGTCACTTTACTGCACTGCTAAATGTCTATCGTGTGTACTTAAAATTCCTATTGTTTACAAGTGCACTAAGAATTTAAGAATTGTTATATTGATTATTTTATTTATATGCATGCCTATTCTATTTTTACAACTTGTTTGAAAGCTAAAGCAATTGTGATTTCTTGTTACTAAGATGGCAATAAAAATAATTCTGTTCCTGATAGTATCATAGTGTAAGGTGTAAGGTACAGTACCCAGTCGGTCGTAAAGGGGGCGCCGTTGGCCATGAGGTTTCTCACTTCGTCGTCGTGACCTTTGCGGGCGGCCTCAAGGAGGCGCTTGCCCAGGTCCACGAGAGACATCTGCTGTAAGTAAACAACAACAAATAAACACACGGATCATCCTGTACACAGCTTGTGAATGAGGAATTACTCTGATAGTCGCCATGTAAACAAGTCAACAGACTTGGCATGGCTCATTGACTTTTTAAATTAAGATGCCATAAAAAAAGGTTGGCAATCAGAGTTTCCGCTTAAAGGGGAATCAGCCCCCACCCCCTAGCAATGGCCCGAGTAGGACAAGGCAAGTCAAAAGCCTTCAAATACTTTTTTGAATTGCCTATTTTTTCCGCATACATGTAAAGATGAATCTGATTTAGCATACAATCTAATCTATAATACATTATAAAAAGATTTGGACGTGGATTGCAATACGCATCAGAAAATAAAGTAAAATGGAAAGTTCGGAACTTCCTCCCGTGACGCAAAAGCAGGAACCATTCAGAGAGTAGCAAACAAGGACACAAGTCGGTCAGAGCAGGAAGATGAAGAAACTCGAAAACAGCCAAAACAAGAGCTAAAACAATAAAGCCCTGTCCCAATTCTCACACTTGCCCTAGATTTTGCGCGTGCTCGCGGTGGTTGAAGGGTGTTCCAATACTTAAGGGTATTGCTGGGCAATAAATCAATTTTAATCGATATAAGTCGAATTTGATGTTTAGGGCGATTTCTTTTGAATGAAATTTTTATTTTTTTTCTCCAGCGCATCATTTTGAAAGCTCCCTAATGCTAACAGTCTTCCTTCTGTCCTGACCCTCACTGTTACAGCGTGGTAATGTTGCAATAACACTTCAGACGTTCAAGAATCAGACTTTATTTAATTGCCAGAACACAAAAACACACACTTATTGACCAGATGCATCGACGTCATCCATTCACGTGGTTGTGCTTGAGCTTACGGTGGAAGTAGTGGAAACTAGCATTGCGGCGAGAGCAAAACTGACGACAACTCTTAAAAATATGACTCCTCTTCTAAATCGAGAAGTGGCTGCTTCAAGCACATGTTCGATTACGTTATAGGTGAAAGTAGGACATCAGGTCAGGGCTCACAAAGAGCAATATTTGGAGAAGTTAAGGATCGCCGAACTGGATGTTGACAAATACAGTCTATGATGTTGACCCGTACCTTCTCCCCCTAGTCCATTTGATCGATTAGATGAAATGTCCAATTTTGCCCGAATTCACCCCACATGATCTTTATCATTATGTTGTTAACAATGCATCCCCTCACACTGGAGCAGATTTAAATTTAAATTTTGATGGTAGCATTTGCACATTAGCAATGCACTTTTCATGACATGATACATATTGACAGAGGAAAATAGTCAAAAACGCAACTTACGGCTAATAAGATAGATCCAGATCTATCGATATCTAGATAAGATAGATCTTTTATTCACGCCACAGTGGGGAAATGTGAATCTTGCAACACACATACAGGACAGTAGTAAGAGCACACGTTTGACTTCAAGCGGTCCTTGTGTCATAGTCCTCCAAATAAATGAATGGAAAGAAAATACAAAATTGTGATTGATTTATCTTGTAAAAAGTGTTCACTGCAAATCCGGGAGTCCTTGGATGGCTCCCAGTCCTCTTGGTTGATTACCGCTGGCCATCGTCGTCCTCTGTCTTCATCACGAGCAGGTATCAGATAAAAAGACACATTTGGCTTATGTCCTTGCCTGTTAGTACAAACTGTGTGATTTTCGCACAATTTTGGCTGTTATTCGGTGAAACAGGTTGTTTTGGTCAGGTTTCTGTAGGCTCGCAGTTAGACTTCCGTCGTCTGTCATGGAGAGTGGGCGTGGCCAGGACGTCACATGCAAGGGGTCAATATCCTGCCTGGCTCCGGTCGCTCTGCTCGTACGCCACATTTTTCATTCTTTCATTCTCATTCATTCATTTCTCAGCGCTCACGCTCGTTACTCCAAAGCACGCTCTCGTGTCTGCGGCGCGCCCGCACACACGCGCACACTTGCGTGTCCCACTGAGCCTCCGCACTTTGGGGAAAGACGTCTCACACATTGCTCTAATTGCTCCGATACAAAAAAAAAGTTCCATGCTCTCTCTGTTAGCTAAAGTAGCAGAATGTAAACAGGAAGAGAAACAGAAACTTAACTCGCACAACGCGGTAGTCACTGAAGTTAGTATTAGCGCCACCAGCTGGACCGAGCATTGTACTACAGCACAGTTACTCTGGCACGGTTGAAAGAACAAGCATGAAAACCCAAGTATGGAGGCTTTTGTAAAAGACTTTCTCTGCTACAACTATTGCATTTAGAGTAATCATTAGTTTTAAAAATGTGATTGTGCTATTTAATGTAAATTATGCATGTGTTTAATACGATTTATATATTTGCTATAGCCCTCGTTTGCCATGCAGGTGCATTGTGTCACTGTAAGTGAAGTACTTAGAAAACTGTTAAGCTACATTTTCACTGTTTACAATGGCAGGGCCATCTCGTTTACAAGCATGTTTCAAGGATTATTTCCTGTTACACTTATCTCCATGGGGAAATTAAGATTAAACTGCATAAAGGAAAATCCATTTCTTTGTCAGTTGTAATTTGTTTTCAAAGATGCAGTAAGCGATTTTGTTAGCTTAGCCATAGCACCAACTTGAAACCACTCCCCCCTCCCCTTGCCTCTCCACCAAACCAAAACAACCGGCACACGTGAACGTGCATCCACACGTGATATCATCTGTCATCAGTTGAACATGTCACATTCTCCTGATGAGCAGAGGAGTCACGTATCGCGGCTGTGTACACAGCTGCAGAGTCGTGGCTGCTGCTGTCTCTGTGAGGTCTGTGGAGAAGTGTAGAGGACAGTGTAATGTGTTCACTGACCCTAATGATCAGACCGATGGGTTGTGTTCGTTCATTTACTCTGCACTCTGTACTACTACAGTACAGACGTGTTGCTGCAGCCGTTACTATTTGATGGCTCGCGCGCATGTTAGTATTTGGGGCGTTCACAGGCAGTCCGTACAAAAAGTATTGACATGACAGAAAGTGCGGAGGAGCAGTAAAATCCACATGTACGTGTTTGTCCCATAGACTGTATATATTAACGGACAGAGTCACGCCTATCTCCGCTGTTCTAACTAATGGGCCAAAAAATGTGCTCTACTGGAGCAATCCAAAATGGCCGCGAGTGGAAAATTGTGAAAAAACGCATCTGCGCATGCGTCAGCCGGCGCAGCTCCATTCATTTGAACGAGAGACTTCAAACCGCAACTTCACAGCAAGTAAACTAGAGTGGACCAAAAAAATCCACCCCCCTCAGCATTGACACACATGTGGAACGGAGCTTTGGGCCAAGAGCCAACTTTTGGTCCATCCTGTAAAGAAGTTTTTGAGAGGTCTGCCAATGCTATATGTTAGCATTGGCTAATTCTATTAGGTATTGCAAGCATGTCAGCGCACGTCATTTTGGCGACTTTTGAGCTGGGACCCGCCCCCACTGGTTTGTCCTCATGGTACCTGTGGCTTTTGTGGTCAGACGTGAGACTTTATGAACTGCGTGAAGGAGACACCTGCGCACGGCCGTTATGTGTGATGTCAGTGAAAATTACCTTGTGAATGCACTGCCAGATCTCAGATGTCCTCCGCGATTATCACTCAATTCAGTCATGTTTAGAAAATCCAACTCAGGTGCGCGCACTCGCGAGAAACAGGAAGAGGGTGAAGGCGGTAAAAGCATCCCATTGGTTCGTTGGGGATGAACGAATCCCATTGGTTTACTTTTATCGGTCCGATCCAAAGTCTTGTTTGTTAATTTTTGGAGACAATAGGCATCTGGTCAATCTCCCTTTCTATTTGAAGACACATGATTACTTGACTACTTTTAGGGTTTAGGGACGTTTTCCCACAATATTTAAAAAAATGCATCTGGAAAAAAAAATCACTTACTGCATCTTTAAAGGACAACTCACCCTCAAATCCACTTTTTTTTGCTTCTATACGGTATAAATGAGTGTCCAATAGTGTTGTCTACATATACATATCCATAATTTTGTCACTTTGGTGCAAATTAGTTGAAAGTTAAACTTTCTGCCTAAAACAGTCTGTGAGGCGCCATCTGCTGGCGACCTGTATTACTACATTTGAATTTTGAATCTGGCGCCAACACTGGCGCGGCAGCAAGACCTGACGTCTGAAGCAAGACCTGACGTCAGCAGCCCCCCGCCCAGAGCAATGTAAACGGCCCAGTCTTGTTCACGCCCCCTTTAGTCCTCCAGGCTACGCCCATTTAGAGGAAGATTTGAACAGGAAATGTGAGTGACGTAAGCTCCGAGGAGCGGGGGTGAGAACCACTTCAAATAGAAAAAAATAATCGATTAAAATCAAAAATCTGATTTGGTGTCAAAAAATCTGAGATTATTCTTTTAGCCATATCAAAAACAACCCTCGCGCTCAAGTGAGGTCTGGAGTTCACTTGCGGGCGAGGGTGATCCTGTGATGCATTACGATAGTTGTTGGTAAAGCAGCTGTCTGGCAAAGCCGCGTCACAATGAAAGAAAGCTCCCATCCATCATATGCAGTTTGGTTTTAGGAAATGCCATTCAACCGAGACAGCCACTTGCTATTTTCTAGAAAACGTCAAACATCTCCTAGACCAAGGTGGCTCTGTAGGGGCTGTGTTCCTTGACCTAAAACGTGCGTTCGACACCATTGACCATATTGCTCGCCTGGCCAAGTTAACATTATTCAACTTTTCTGAAAGCGCTCTCTGCTGGATTAAGTCATATCTTGCTGACAGACAGCAAGCTGTACAAATAGAACAAACCTGCTCATCTTATCTCACTTGCTCTGCTTGAGTCCCCCATGGCTAAGTATTGGGGCCAATTTTGTTCACTCTATACATAAATGATTTACCAACAGTATGTAACACAGTAAAAATACAATTATATGCAGATGACACAGTTCTGTATACTCATGCAAAAACAAAAGCATAGGCAGCAGCAGTCCTCTCTGGGGCCATGGTTCCAGTAACACGATGGCTCCAAAACTCCTGCCTACACTTGAATACTAAAAAAACTGTATGCATGTTCTTCTCCTGTCCGCGAGGAGGGAGTGAACAGCCATCTGTTCTGGTCAATGGAGAGCAATTAGAGGTAGTCCAACAATTTAAATATCTGGGAGTAGTCTTTGATTCACACTTAACTTTTCAAAGACTATTATATTCAACCTGGCAAACTTCAAACATATAAGGCCTTACTTGACTGTAGAGTCAGCAAAGGCTTATATGCACTCTATATTTAGTCACATTGACTATTGCCACACAACTTGGTCCCACACTTCCGAGAGCACTTTGAAGCCACTCAAGTCTCTGTTTAAGAAAACACTTAAAACATTAGATAGGAAGCCATAAGATAAGATGTGCTTTATTTCACAAATAAAGGAGAAATTTACAAGCCATTGCTTTATCATTATTGTAACATTGTAAGTAAGTATAACATTTTAGATTTTGAGAGTTATCAGAATTTTCTGGATGCTAGACTTATTTTTTAAGAATTAAATGGACTTGCTCCTCCTCCCCTAATGGATTTTATATGTAAAAAAAACGACCGTGGAGTCAGAACCAGAGCACTAACCAGAGGAGACTGTAATATACAAAGGCGCAGGACTAGATTCAGCCAAATGGTGGCGTCCATCAGAGGCACAACGTTATGGAACACTCTGCCGGAACACATTCTAAACTGTGGGACCTACCAAACATTTAAAGGAGTCCTCAAACATTGGTTGAAATCAAACCAGTCATGCTCCCATAGATAATCTGCTCTTCCTTGGGCTTTCTCTTTCTCTCCTCTTTTAAAATTCTTTGTTTTGCTTTTTGACTTACTGTTTGTACCTTCTCAGCTCCTGTGGACTCACCACCTGCAGGAGAATCAGTGAGGGGCTGGTGCTAAGTGTACTGGGTGCAGCTCTGGCTGCCACCCCCCCGACCCAGAAATGGATTAAGGGGAGGAAAATGGATGGATGGATGGATTTTGTACCTTTACTAACTGTGTTTTTGGGTTTCTTACCTGCCTTAGGACTATGGATGCGATTTAGCTATTGTGCTAATTCCAGCATATTTATGTTGACGCTGTTTGCAGACACATTGATGAATATGTACTCCTAAAATCTAATTTATTTTTATTTTTTTAAAGCAACATGAAACACCCGTGCGCAAGTTTGTGGTGAAGGGGAGAAAGCTCTAAAGCGAGTGCGAGTCATTCAGAGTTTTTAAAACGTGTGTTGGTGCCGTGTGTGGTGATGTTCGCACCAAAAGCGGCCGCAGCGGGTGGCGTTCACAGAGGCTTCAGAGGCTTCAGTCCCATTTCTCAGGGAGAATATCCTGTGAGTAGGGCTGGGATAAATGATTATTTTTTAAATGATTAATCTAGCGATTATTTTTTTCAGTTCGATTCAATTTTGATTCGATTCGATTATCTCCCCATTAACTCATCGACTGCCAGCCCAATTCAGAACAGGTACTTCCATATTGCCAGCCGTTTTTAAAGACCCACAGAATATTGTGTACTATGACTGAAATCTGACACCAGATTCTAAAAAGAATGGACTGTCTACTTTCAGCAAAAAGAATTTTGTTTCTAGCTTGTTTTGTTCACCTGTAATCCTCAGTCGAGTAGAGGGAAGTTTTACTGAAATCACCAGAAAGCTGAGAAAAAAGAGGCACAACATGTGCATCTAGCTGTTTTCAAACCATTCATAGAGAAATGCTGCCACCTGCTGGCTCGATAAATTATGGTCTCAAGCCATCCCCATACATATTAGATACAATAGACATCTGGGAACATGAACATAGCGGGAAAGGCAATTGTATTAATGCGTCAATGGCACACAATGGTTACTATTATACACAGAGTTAATTGACTAATAGCAATGTAAACATTGGGTGTTGTGTGTTAAGGCAGGGGTTCCCAAAGTTTTTAGCCCGCGACCCCCATCATAAATGCCCTGCTAACCCGCGACCCCTGCGGCTTCTCTTTCCAAAGTTACTGTCAGTAAAGGCATAAACCGGCCACCCGCTTTTAATGTGCGGACTGCGGACCTCTTTACCTTTGACTCCGAAAAGCCGGGCCTCTTTAACGCGCTGTTCTACCGCTGTCCTTCCTCCCTCCGCTGCCCCCCCTCCCTCTCTCCCTCCTTTGCCCTCTCTCCCTCTCTTCGCACCATCAGCCTGACCCCTGATACAAGTGACTTTTCTCCCCCTCCGGGTTTTTCTGTTGTGGATATTAACCTCGTTTCATTTTAAAGCAGGTATTATTTATTTGTAGCCTCCAAACACCTTTAGTTTTAGCAAACAACAGCAGGACACGCTTTGTCGCTGCGCATGATGTGAGCTGTGTTACGTGATGATTTTGATTGACGCTGCAATGACTGGGACAAAATTACTAACGTTATTAAAATATATTATAGTCTCCAAACACAATTTAACAAGTAGTCCTTTTGAAACAAATCAAATGCTAAATAAATATTTAAGGGCTTTATATTTGAGCAAAAAAAAACTTTTTTTTTTGTGTGGAAATCATCTTGCGACCCCCCCAGGGGTTCCCGCGACCCCCCGGGGGGTCGGGACCCCCACTTTGGGAACCACTGTGTTAAGGAATTCATGTTTTTTCATTCAGAATGTAAATTAACAAAATATATTTATTGCTCTTAAAATTAAAAAAAAAAAGACTTTCTTAGTCAAAAGGTAGCATAAAACCTTGAAGCCTTGAAAATACATCTAGCTTACTGAAAAAAGTGCATCTTATTATTCTTCTTTCAGATGAAAATAACACTTGATGTTTAGCATTCAATAGAATAAAATAAAAAAAGTTCACCAAAAATACTTGTTTAGAGCAACTGAAAGAATACAGTAACCAATGTAAACTTGAGGGCTTTCAGCTAAAGAGAGGACTTTTCTAGCAAAAATAATGAAAATAAACATTTAGAATTCAACAGTTATGTTGAACATAGGCCGAGCTTACTGAAAAAAATCATCTTCATTCACAAATAACAACATAGACTCTGACACTTTCCTTTCCCCTTAAGAATACTGTCTGTCTCTTTGTGTGTGCTTGTCAACATTTGCCTCCAGCCGGTGTTGTCTTTCTCCAGTGACTAAACCAGCACAGCTAGCATGTAGCGCAGCTAGCATGTTCGCCGATGCTAAAGTACCGTCTAATAATTAAATAAACTGATGGTGCAACTCCGTGAACACATACTGCTATTATATAAAGTCTCTGGACACAGAGCCGCTGCAGAGCTGCAGTATTGGAGAAGAACTTCACACAAAAAGTCGCTAGCTTAACGCCGCTAGCCAAACGCCGCTAGCCCAGGACCACTGGTCTGAACACCCCAAGCCTCTGTAATTTAGAGAATGTGCGTCTACTGCTACTACTCGCTGCCATCTTTGTTTTGAGTATGACGAATCGACGCGCATTTTTTGCCTCGACGTGATTGATTATGTCGGTGCGTTGTCCCAGCCCTACCTGTGAGTGCACTCATCTATGGGAAGGCACTTTTCTCGTGACGGCACTCACACCTGGAAGGCCCTCAAAATTGGGACGGGGCCTAAGTATATTGTAAATAATTTTGTGCAGCTTTCAATTTTTTTTATTCATTCATGTAAATGGAAGAAGGTGAAGCCTATTTTTATTGTATTAAAAGGACAAATTGAAGGAAATTATTTAAAATCTCTGAAAATGTAAGGTAAAAATGCATTGTCACTTATAGAAACATTTGAAAACCTTAGAGTATTCGATGATGACCTCTAACTGTGTGTGTTCCTTAATATTTGCATTTTCGAAATTTCAAAAAGAGAACTTGTAGGTATATTGTACAATTTTTTCAATAAAAAAAGGGAGCTCAACCAGGACTAACAATGGGGGACACAGCGCTTATGGCCATATGCCTTCACCCCAAGTTTATATTCTACTGTGACTGTAAACAAGCGCTGCTAACGTGATCGCATATGACGAAGTAAAGGTTATGTATTAGATTAGGAGATCCTTTCTACGTCACACAGTGGGGAAATTTCAGTGTTACATCACAAGTTATAGAATAGTAGGAATGAGGAGCACACGCACAAGATAAGTGAACAATAGCTATGCTAATTAAAATAAAACAATCTCTAACTAGCCTCAAATAACAAAAATAAAAACTATCTTGAAAATAATACTAAAAAATAAGTATACAACTTTTACATTTGGCAAAATAAGAGGCATAATACGTGAAATGGTGCAGCTCTGTTTGCAGATACTCCTGATATATATGACGTCTCTGGAAAATCTCGGGACACACAGACTGAGATGAAGAATCGATTCTGCAGAGTCACAGTGAAGGGGAGACGAGTCAATGCATAAAACCTGTGTTGACCTCGACCTAAAAGCTGCTTCTGCAGTGTGTCCTGGACACAGAATACACGAAATACAAGGTAAATACCTTGAGCACGGGGCAACTACACTGGAGCACGGGGTTTGGGGGAGGTTGTTTTTCTGAAACAAACTGAGTAGAATCAGATCAGTGGAGACTCAGCTCGCCTCAGTCCGATAATAGAATCAGCCTACGACTTCGACGCTGTGGACAAACACGAGACCCCGCCATTTTCTGCCGCGCGGACCGCTCCGCCATCTACAGCGGGCACGCGCCACCGGAGCAATCTCCCGGTAATCACGCTAGCACGCGCACAGGGCAACGACAGGAAGCCATTTGATGTGAGCGCGCGGGTTTTCCGGGGGAAGTCAGCGATAAATTTCCTTTCTACAGCGCGACGACAAAATACTACTTCCTCATCCGGTTATCGTCTCTACATGATGCGGCTAGGTTACCGGAGACTAGAGGCGGTTTAGCGCAGTCTGAGCGGTGTTAATGTCCCGGGAGCCAGTGTGAGTGTCCCGGGACCGGCCACAGGAGCTTCACTCACCGTCTCCAGTTTGGATGTAGCCCGGTCCTCTCCGCGTTAGCTGCCTTTGTTAAGTTGGGTCCTGTTAGCTCCGCGCAGTGCGGACATACGGGGATTCTCTCACAGGCCTCTCTCAGCGGACACACGGGCCTCACACACCGGACACCGGACCGTCTGATGACCACCGCGTGTGTTTACGGTCCGCGCCGAACTCTACGTCAAGAGGCGACTGAGCGCAGAGCTGCAGGATGTGACCCTTTCACAATAAAAGCCCCTCATAAACATGATCAAAACATGGCACGCCACCCACTTCCTCAGCTCCTCTTGGGAATCAGAAATTACCCAATATTATGATCATATCTACTGTATTAAAGTCGAAATAATAGCTGCATACATTGGCAGTACCCCACTACTAGGTATTGACTAATTTCTCCAATGACCGCTTACAGCTCTGCCATCTTAAGCACCAAACGCGAGTCTGAACAATCTATGGTCTGAACGCACCATTAGTCCCGGGAATGAAACTCACCGGGTGAAAGTCTGGAGACTCTAGCTGACAGACTGACAGATGTGAAAGTACTGTGCATGTGTGCATACAAGAGTCAGGGAAATGAAGGGCTCAAAATTAGGAAATGCAGTTTTAACTACAGTGACATATCTTTTGGTATTAAAAATAATCAGCTTTGCCGGACTACGGTAAATAGTACAGTTGCATGTCGATGATGATGATAATTTAATAAAGTTGATTTAAGTGTGAAAGGGTTCTTTTATTGTTAAGTGCCAAACCGGTAAAGTGTATGTTGACATTTTTGATATGTGGCTAGCAGCTAGCTTAACGGTTAGCTTCGCCGCTAGTTGCTGCTAAGGTGGTCAAACTTTCCTCCTCACAGCACGATAACTGTTCGACTAAAGGCATGATACTGTAATAATCATGTAATGGGCTCTGCAAGTTGGATGCTGGACAGGATATCCCTTAATAAGTGATTATTAAGGGATTGGGACAGCGAAAAAAACACATATTCCGTAGTAACAACGTCCACAGGCCGTAGACTTAAAAGTTTAATCTAAGGAAGATTATAGTTTCAATTGTTTAGAGAAAAGGGGTTAGAGGCATAATAGCAGTGGTGACTGTGGGTTAAATAAAAGTAAGTTTAGCTGAAGTTAACGTCGATGCTGGGCGACTAAAAACACTTGATTCGGAGAAAGCTGTGAGAGCTTATTTCAAATAACAGTTCTGATTTCATCCTGAGATCACAGTTTGTGATGCCGTTGAAGCATGGGACTGCGCTGCTGCCTTCTACCTGTAGATGGCGCAGTTAAACTTCAGATGCGGGACCTTATCTCTGGGAAGAGAGCAGTTCTGAGCGGACATACTTGCAGCCTCCGCCTCCGTATGCCCGCTCAATCATTGCCGATTCTCCCGTGTGAGGAGCTCCCTATGCCTGCTCCATCATTGCTGATCCCCTCGTGTGAGGAGCTCCCTATGCCTGCTCCATCATTGCTGATCCCCTCGTGTGAGGAGCTCCGTATATCCGCTCCATTACTGCTGATTCCCCCGTGTGAGGACCACCGTATGCTCGCTCCATCACTGCTGATTCCCCCGTGTGAAGACCACCGTATGCTCGCTCCATCACTGCTGATTCCCCCGTGTGAAGACCACCGTATGCTCGCTCCATCACTGCTGATTCCCCCGCATGAGACGCGGGACCAAAGCTTGGCTGGGACTGGCGCCTCCACAGCCTGCAGAGAAAGCACCTTAACCACGGAAAAAGGGACCAAAGCGAGGCCGGGACAGTAGCCTCCAGAGCCCGCAGGAGTCATTATCACCACGAGAGAAGGGACAAGACCGAGGCCGGGATAGGAGCCTCCAGAGTCCGCAGAGGCGAGGGGATAGTAACCGAGAGCAGGTGATCTTTAATTGATAGTATCGTTGTGTCTGTTGGAAGAATAAGGGGAAACATGGATCATCTGTTTTGAAGATGATTAATACTGAGTGGCAGCGGGTTCGCTCAGTCACACAAGATGAGCTCGATGTAGAGCTGCTGCTCCTGCTCACTCTTGGGGAAGTGAACTTGCTGGAGTCACTGGAGTGAAGTGTTTTCATTCCACACAGGTCTGGGTTGTATGTATGATTCACATGTATGCGTGTGTTTGTGTGTGTGTGTGTGTTCTAGCAGTGTGTTTATTTCACTCCTGTGTGTTCACAGTGGGAGGAAGAGGAAGATGAAGAGGAGCGCTCACAGGAGGGTGAGGATCTGCCTTTATCTCCAATAATTGATAAAACACAATGAGCTTCATTTATGATCAACAAAGAGTGCTCTGAGGACAGGTTCAACACAGAGTGTAGATAGGGGGTGGGGTGAAGGAGCAGCAGCTGTATGTTATATAACACAAGTAGGTCAGCACTGTAACTGAGACTGAGAGTGAGACCAGAGAGAGAGACCAGAGAGAGAGAGACCAGAGAGTGAGAGACCAGAGAGTGAGAGACCAGAGAGAGAGACCAGAGAGTGAGAGACCAGAGAGTGAGAGACCAGAGAGTGAGAGACCAGAGAGTGAGAGACCAGAGAGTAAGAGACCAGAGAGTAAGAGACCAGAGAGAGAGAGACCAGAGAGTGAGAGACCAGAGAGTGAGAGACCAGAGAGAGAGAGAGACCAGAGAGTGAGAGACCAGAGAGTGAGAGACCAGAGAGAGAGAGAGACCAGAGAGACCAGAGAAAGGCCAGAGAGTGAAACCAGAAAGAGAGATCAGAGAGAAACCAGAGAGGTTTATCCACATTTACCACAAAAGACTCCTAACTGTGATTGATGTTATAGGAAATACACGCTACTGAGAACTGGGGGATGGAGACTTATGATCAGGTCAGAAGAGGAGTTTCTAACCTTATCATCATAGGAACATAGAAAAGGCCTTTATTTGACTAACACTGACGGCAAAAGATCAGATAATAATTTTCCGTGACATTTTTTTCGAAAGGACTTACTTTAATTTTCACCATCTCTGTGAATAAAGAAATATGTAAATAATGTAGAATTATTATTAACATACATACTAAAAAACTGTGTGCGTATATGTAATTCTCAGGTGGTCCAGGAGGCGGCAGGCCCCTCCCCTGATAAAGTGGGCTGGGTCAGACAGTTCTGTGGGCGTGGCCTGTTCCGGGAGCTGTGGAAGAACCGCTACCTGGTGCTGCAGCGCGAGCGTTTGTGGCTGTGCACAAAAGAGGTGTGTACCTGTCTGTGTGTGTCTGCCTCCATCCCCACAGTATGGTGCTGATGGCTGTCCCAGGTCAGTGTACGCATGTGGACTGTGTTCAGGTGAAGGAGGAGCGCGGTGCTCAGCTGATCCTGGATCTGTCACAGTTCGAACGCTGTGAAGAACTGAAGAAAGAGAAGAGCAAGAGCAAGAAGAGCCACAGCCGCTTCATACTGCAGCGAGGAGGCTCCGCCCCCAATACTGTGAGTACTATTGTCAGTCGTACAATCAAATGAAAATAGTACTAATAATTGTATTTATATGATGCCTTTCTAGGCACTCATGTGGGTCTTACAAGACCTCCTACAAAAATTGTTAAAGCATGCATTTAAAAATGGACAGAATGTTCAGATGTTCACAGAGAATAGGCCATTCTGAATATGTGTGTTTTAAGTGCGGTTTGGAAGTGTGGGAGTGTGTCAGTGTTGCAGAGGTCAGAGGGAAGGCTGGTGAGCAGAGCACCAGAAGGCTCTATTCCCCATGGTGACGAGGTGGACAGGAGGCACCAGGAATTGGAGGAAGGGTGGAGGAGCGGGCAGTTGTGCTGCTCAGACAGATATGCAGGGGCAAGGTTGTGGCTGACTCTGAAGATGAGAAGCAGGATTTTGTACTGGATGCGGTGAGTGATGGGAAGCTAGTGGAGCTGTAGGACAAGGGTGAGTTGGACCAGTTGGAGTTTGTGTAGAGTTTAATGGGGAAGATTAAACACAATTGAATTGCAGTAATCCAGAAGTGGCGAGACTATAAACCACTAGTGGAAAAAATGAAAAATAAATGATATTTTTTTTCTCTTAAAAAAAAACAATTAACCAGGAAAGTCCCATTGAGATTAAGAACCTCTTTTTCAAGGGAGTCCTGGACAAAAAATACATACAATTACAGATTATAAAACACATACAATTTAATAAAATTACTGATTTTAAAAACAGTTACATTTCAATGAGGACGCTCAAGTGCTCTCAATCTGGATCTGAATACATTCAATTGAATAAGTACAAATAATTTCCAGTCTTTTTGCAATTCTTACCATGTAGAAGGAGCAGCAAATACAAAAGCTTTTATTACCCGTTTCAGTGCGGGCAAAAGGAACAGAGAGCAACAAAAGATCATTTGAGCGCAAACCATATGAACCAACATCTCTTTGTGAGTAAATGGCAGATGTAGGGCAGCAGACCAAGCATAGCCTTTAAACAAAAGTGCACCAGTGTCCAAACCTTCTGTGGACAAAGAAGGCCATCCCACTCCGGAATATCCTTCACAGTGAGTCAGGGCTTTGCAGTTCGTAATGAATTGAACATATTAATTGAATCATTATTCAAGTACAGTTTTTAGGTTTTTTTCCAATATTTAAGTCTTACTGCTGAAACTGTGTAAAATGTTACAATGGCTGACAACATTAAATATACTTGCCTTGTTATTGATGAATACTAATATTGATGAATAGGCTTACTACGCTACTGTGTAGTGTTGGTCAAAAGTTTGAGAACCACTGGACTATGGAGTGAGGGAAGGGCGGAGGCGGCGGATGTTCTGGAGGTGAAAGAAAGCGGCGCGAGTGACGCTGTTAATGTGGGGGATATGGAGGGAGATAAGGAGGAGCTGTCGATGGAGAAATTCTTGATTTTGTTAAGGGTGGAATTTGGTTCCTATACATGCGTTCGCACATCCGGGCTCCTGGCATTTAATTCGGGCAAACATTACTTGATGACCAGTGACAGTGCATGTTATTTTGACAACATCCAAAGTTTTTTTTTTTTTTTTGCTTTTAAACAAGAAACCAAGATACTGAGCGGTATTTTGTATGGACATTCCTCTACCTTCAAAGAACGACAATTTGGAGCGATATCTTTCCTTGCTTTTCTCTTCCAAACAGTCGTAATACAGTACTTATCTCGTAGCTCTGCAGATGTCCCAGATGTGTGACGTCACCGCAAACGCATGTATAAGGTGCTTTTGTGTTTAAGAAAGTTTGAGGCAAACCACGGGCCTGAGTTTGCGGGCCCCAAATCCGGCCCACAAGACAATTCTTAGTGGACCTTGAAATGATTTTCAATTATCATATCACAGTAACCTTGCAACATTGATAGTAATGGAATACTATGGCATGTAATTCTTCATATTTTACTCTATGTTCTAAAATGTTAACTAAAATGTATTTAGAATTTAAAGTGACTTAATTTATTTTATATATTTAACAAGCAATCTTCCAATACATCTCATTCTTGATATTCGGCCCAGAAAATATCCAAACTCATGTCAAATACAACTAATTTGTCAAAAGACAAAAATATGTGGGGAAAAAAACAAAAAAACAACTGTTGTACTTCTGGCCCGAACCAGCTCTTATGTTTTTAAATTTCGCAATCAGTTATGGTGTTGGGTGGAAGTGTAGCGTTGGGTTTTCTGGAGAGATAGAGCTTGATGTCATCCACGTAGCAGTAGAATTGGATGGAATGTTTAGGAATGATCTGACCAAGGGGTAGGAGGTAGATGATGAACAGCAAAGGACAGAATGTACTGCTTCTCCTGGTACTACCCATATGGAAAAAGATGAATATTTGAATAAATGAATATTTTACAAAAGGACTTACTTAAAATGTATATATTACACATATGACAGTCAAACAACATACAAATTACATAGAAAGATTGTATACTCCAAATTATACATGAAAACCCATGTTTAAACATTATCTAAAAATAATGCAAGATTTAGGTTTTAATGTTATAGATGATGCTTTGACAGTCAAATCCAACACAAAGTTCATAGTAATATTTTATATGTCGAATTGTATATGGAAAAGCATGAAGAATGCTTTTCGAAGAATTGTGTAAAGTTTTTTTGCATTTTATAATTAAAGACAAGTCAAAATCTAGAGTTACATTTTAACTCTAGGACTCTATTCTGTATAACAATGGAAACTAAAGTATGTGATGGTAAAATGTATTGAATACTCAGTGGCTCAGTTGGTAGAGGCATTGGACCTGAAGGTTGTTGGTTTGAGCCCACCACAAGACCTTATTCCCCTACTCCCACTGATGTCTGCTGTCGTTGTGTCCTTGGGTAACACACTTAACCCCTATTTTCCTGAAGCCCTCGCTGAAAGATTGAGGCTATGCTCTCACTGACGGAGCAGCCATCCTCCTGCTATTACACCCTTATTACACTATTACCCCCATTACACTATTGCACCCCTATTAGACTATTACACCCTTATTACTCCATTACTATTATTTAAAATCCACTCTCTGAGCCACAGGAAGCCAGTACAAAGACCTGAGGACTGGACTAATGTGGTCGTACTTCCTGGTTCTAGTCAGGACTCGAGCTGCAGCATTTTGAATGTACTGCAGATGTTTTACCGCTTGTTTGGACAGACCTGTGAGCAGGCCATTGCAGTAGTCTAACCTACTGAGACAAATGCATGAATAATAATCTCCAGGTCTGCTTTGGACACTATATTTCTAACTTTGGCAATTTTCTTCAGATGGTAAAAAGCTGTAGATGTTATTGATTTTATGTGGCTATTGAAATTTAGGTCTGAGTCCAGTATGACCCCTTAATTTCTAACCTTCTCTGAATGCGTTTGGGAGAGAGACTGAAGCTGACAAATGACGCCCTCTCGTTGTTTCTGGGGACCAAAGACAATGATTTCAGTTTTGGCTGCATTTAGCTGGAGGAAGTTATTTTGCATCCACTCACTGATCTGTTGGATACAGTGAAGGAGTGAGTCCACTGGTCCATGTTCTCCTGCAGTCAGTGAAACATAGATTTGAGTGTCGTCAGCGTAATTGTGGTAGGACACTTTGTTTCTTTGTATTAACTGACCTAACGGCAGAATGTAGAGATTGAACAGAAGAGGTCCCAGGATCGACCCCTGTGGTACTCCACAGGTCAGGGCCATATGATCTGAGACACAGTCTCAAATATCCACAAAGTACTTCCTATCTTCCAGGTAAGACCTAAACCAGTTTAGGGCGGTGCCAGTGACACCAACCCAGTCCTACAGTCTCTGTATGAGGATCTCATAGTGGACAGTGTCGAACGCGGCACTCAGATCCAACATGTCTAAAACTGTGACTTTACCTGCATCAGGGTGAAGTCGAATGTCGTTTGTTACCTGAGGGGTCTCAGTGCTGTGGTGTGGTCTAAACCTAGACTGGAACATATCAAAAGAATTATTCATTGTTGAAAATTCAGTAATTTGTTGGGAGGCAACTTTTTCAAGAATTTTTCCAATGAATGGCAGATTCAATGTGGGACGGTAATTTTGAAGTACCGCAGGATCCAGACTGCTCTTTTTTTAGGAGAGGTCTTATGACTGCTGTTTTCAGGGCCATTTGAAATGTTCCAGATACTGTTCAGAACGGACTTCAGAAATCTAGAGGGTAATATATCCAGGCTACATGTGGAGGAACTCTTTTTGACAGTTTCAGTATCCACAAGTGCAAGGTGAGTTAGCTCAAAATGCCTTGCTGACTGTTGCATTGTTATACGTGCTGTGGAGGTGATAGTGTTTTTGATTCCTTGTACTTTGTCATTGAAAAACTGTGCAAATTCATTACACTTAGATTTGAGGTAAGTTCTAGGGGCAACATAACAGAGGGGTTTGTTAATCTACTAACTGTTGAAAAAAGAATACGAAGATTGTTACTGCAACCTTCAATAAATACATTCATCTTGTTTTACGTAGAACCCGGTCTGTGCCCTGACCGAGTCTGCTTTAGTCCATGGGGCCTTTTACTTACTGGTAACCATTTTAACCGTCACAGGAGCAATGGCGTCCAGAACAGTCAAAACACTGGTGGTGTCAGCGTTAAGCAGTTCAACAGTAGACCACAGGGTAGTAGATGGAAACTAGCTCAAGCTAAATCTGGTGCAAAGCATCTTTAATTAATGTATTTGCACATTGTCCCTGTTGAAATAAATTAATAATAAACTTAAACTTCTTGAAGTTTAGCATTCCCATGAACAGTTCACTCGTGTTTTCATGTATCTGTCTTCTTCTAACAATTGTGGACACAGCTGGTGGTTTGCTAGCAAAACACATGTCAAAAAATACACAGAAATGATCTGACAGAGCAACATGAAATGAGCAGGTCAAGAGTGTGCCCTCTGCTGTGAGTGGGGCCACTCACGTGCTTAATGAAACCAAAGGTCTCAAATACAGAAATCAGCTTCTTTGCATTTCTGTCATAAACA